AGGGAGTTCTGCTGAAGGGTTCTGTGCTGGGCCTGTGCTCTGGGTCTATTCAGGATCCCACCCGGCCCTGGGTCGTCTCACTCACTCGCCGGCCTGCGCTCCGGGTCTGTTCAGGATCCCACCCGGCCCTGGGTCGTCTCACTCACCCGCCGGGCCTGCGCTCTGGGTCTTTCCAGGATCCCGCGGCCTGGGTCGTCTCACTCACCCGCCGGGCCTGCGCTCTGGGTCTCTCTGGTTCTTTTTTAAGACAAATTTTAACCAAATTATTTCAATTAGAAGCCCTGGTACCACCTTGAAAATTGTTACCAACATATACTGTGCTTCAGCCAAGAGTCTGCAACAAGTCACCCCCTTAAAACTTCAGTACCACTACTTGTTTTTTTTTTTTTTTTTAATTATTAGTTGTGCTTGTTGGTAGCACACAGTGATTACATTTATTATGAGGAGTTGTGCATACACATGACACGTCCTAACTCCATTCCTGTCCCCTTCCTCTCCCTCCCTCCCTGCTCCGTCCCTTTATCTTTTGATCCCTTATCCACTGCCAAGAGATCTGCCTCTCTGTTTCCTTCTTAAAGCTTTGACTCCTTTGATAGTTTTAAAGACTTTCCTAACACTGTACTTCCTTACAAGTATGGTGAGTATTTTTCACATTGGTTCTTGACTCAATCTCTCAAGATTTTGTATAACTGTCCTGCCAGCCCTCCTTACATCCTGGGCTTTCCTTTGTGTGTCTCTCCCCAGGCCCTGCCTCATCTGCCACCTTCCTGCTTCTTGGTCATCCATACCTGGCAGGGCAGGCACCTTCTTCCACCCCTGGCTGCACAGCCTCTTCCCTCACCCCTAGTCACAATCTCCCTTCCCAGCATCACTTTTCTCCACAGCACTGAGAATTGTCCCATGCTGAATATATTTTGTCTGATCATTTTCTGATTCTCCACAAGTAGCGTAAGTTCCATGTTATTAGTATCCCTAGGATAAGAGGAGTACGGGACCCTCAACTGATACATGTTGAATGAATAATTATATTTCAGCCCTGTATCTAAAGATGTAATGTTGTCTTTATGTGTGGTTTGTGTCTAGGTGTTCCCCCAAAGCCTCATGCAGTCATAGGGTGTTTTTCAGAGGTGGCTGACTCCAGAGGGTATAGTGATTCACAGTGTAATGCTGTGATTAAGGATGCTGTGGTAACAGGTGCGAGGTTGTTGGATCAGTCTACTGATTGGATTGCCACCAAAACTAACTCAGGTAGATGGAATACTCTCCAAGGGACAGAAGAAGGCTCATCTCCCCCTTTCTCTCTTGCTGCTTTTGCTGTTTGCTGCCACCATGAACTGCTGCCCCGGTGCCACACCACTCTGCCTTAGAACCAACCAATTACAGACGAAACTGTGAACTACATAGATGTTTCCCCTTTTAACTTTGGGTGTTGAGTGTTTTACCTCAGCAACAAGAAAAAAATAAGACATCCTCTAAAATTAATTTACATGCTTTCTCTAAATCCAAACATAGTAACATTTTGCAGTATTATAGCAGATATTCTAGATTCTTAAGCATTATGTTTTTTTTGTTTTTTGTTTTTGTTTGTCTTTTTTGAGACAGGGTCTTGCTATACAGTTCAGGCTAGCCTGGAGCTCATTTCGTAGCCTAAGCTGGTCTCAAACTCTCAACCATCCTCCTGCCTCAGCCTCCCAAGTACTGGAAACAATATGTTTTTGGATAAGCATATTTTTATGTTAGTAAATCTTCTATTGTAATATTTTCCATCTTACTTACACTTAAAAAATCTTGTTCATGGAGCTACACTTTCACTTACACTTTATGCTACGTTCTGTGGTTTGAATTTTTTTATTTGTAACTCTTTAATAGGTAATTAATTTTCTTACATGTGATTAAATTAATTCCAGAACTGTTTGATTTGTTCTAAAGTAACCTAGTATTGGGCTTTTGTGGCTGTTAAGGCTATCAGGTTGTTTTTTTAATCATGCTCCATAATATTTTTAAATTTAACCTGATTATTTTCCACTTATGATAAACCTATAAGAGTCAAATCTCAGTAGACATTTATTTTTTAATTATCTCTAAGATATTTCATGACAGTATCTCTACTCTAAAAGCACTTTCCAATATAGACTAAGCCTACTTGCATTTATTTTTGTTATCGCTACAAGTTCTGATTAGATATAAAGCAAATAAATGGAAATATAATAGGAAGTTGAGTTCTCAGAAGTGGAAATGTCAAGAACTGAGTTCAAATCTGCCTCTAGCTACATTTTCCTGGGGCGCCTGCCAGGTGCTGTTCATACAGGAGAACCAAGCCTTTCATCGACAGTGTGCTAAGCTCGTGCCTTCCCCACAGCGGCTGCTGATAAGCACGTGTGCATCGTACCGCACTGCTCTTCAGGCTCCAGCCCTTCCCTGCAAGGGTCCCCCCAGGCCAGCTTTCCTTCTCCATCTCTCTTGTTTTCTCCTTCTCTTAGCTGCGGTCCAGCACTGAGCTCCACCCAGACCTGCTCACAGACTGCCTCAATGTGCAGCCCCTGCAGACGGCCACGTCCCCAAGAGACACTGCTGCTGACACCACCCTGGGACGGTCCCCGGGGCCAGGGCCAGATCTCTACTCAGGTAAGAACAGCAAAGACAGAACCAATCAGCACCACCACCCTTTTGTTCTCTGTGGTTAAAGGGGATGTTCACACAAAGAAAATTCTTCTAATGTCACCTGTATTTTGCTTTATCAGTTAGCTGAAAATTGCTCTCTTCTCCACGTGATTCCTGAGCTGGGTTTGGCAAAAGCCTATATTTTTTTTTCTCATCAAGAAACAAAGTAAAATAATAGATTAGCTTCTTTAGTTCTGGCCTTCTGCCAAAAGTTCCCTATGCCCAATCCTTCCAGATATCTTAAATTTACTAACTTGATTTAGACTCAGAGGAAATGTTTTCCCCTTAAGCAGGTAACAGGGCTGCATGTGGATTTCTTAATGAAACAGGCATTGTCATCTTTGCATTTTAAAGGAAGCCCCAGCTCTCTATGTAAATTTTCACATCAGTAAACCAAATTGTAAGAATATTTATTAATGTTTCCTTACCATTAGGGAAGGCAAAGGGCCTGGCACTCCCAGTCCACCTTTTTTCTCTGCAGGTTTGAATAAAAGGTAACTCTGTACTTGGAAAAACACTTGTGTTTACTGAACAATAAGAAAGGATTAGTATGCAACAAGGAAGTCATTCTTCTTCTGTTTTCTTAGCCTAGCTTCTGTGCATTATTTACTCTGTAGTGGTGATGCATGTGTGTACAAACATAATTAGTTATTCCGTCTACATATGGAAGTGCTTACTGTGATGTAGTGCGTATGCAAACCAAGTCTCACTGGCTCCACGTTCCAAACAATGGGATTTTTATATTTTTTGTGAATTGTAAATCTTACTCCCAACCCCATCTGATTTCAGAGCCAGGCTTCCCAGCGAGCTGCTTCTCCTTTGGAAAGTACTAATAAACTATTTAAAAAAAATAATTATTTACTACTACATCATATTATCATGGTGTAGAAGAGGTCATGCTTGTGTGGCTTTTAAACCTGACAGTTCTCAGAGAGTCCAAATGCAGGAGAAATTCAGCAGTCATTTCAAGAGCATCTGTCATCAAGAGGTTCTTAACAATGCTCCAGTGTCAGCGGACCTTTATTAGCTGCTTTGGGTACTTATTGCTAGAGACGACTGTTTGTTTGTTTTTTTAATTTATTTATTGATACAGGGACTCGCTACACAGCTCAGACTCATAGTGATCCACCCATTTCAGCCTTCCCAGCACTGGGATTACAGGCATGTGCCACCATGCCCGATTTGGGGGCCAGCATAGCATGTGGTACCAGGGACCGAACTCAGGTCCTTCTGCTTGCCAGGCAGGTGTTTAGACCACTGAGCTATCTCTCCAGCTTGACCTCTGTTTTCTGGCCTCTACTTTTTATGACCCAGGGAGATGAAGTTGAAATTTATTCAAAGGACTGACCAAATCTTAAGAGGTCTTACATAGAGATAGATATAAAAATAGGGGAGGCAGAAACTAGCAGGATTGCTACAAGCTACGTAGTGAGACCCTGCACAAAAAAAGAAAAGAAAAAAAAAAAAAAAAAAAAAAGGAAATCTAGTACTTCACAGTTCTACCAACATACATGTAAATATTTGGTATAAGATATACATATGTATATGAAAAAGCAAAACTAGGTTTATATATCTTTTATATGACAAATATTTAAGAAGAAATAAACTTTTATTCCTGAACTTTAAATTACTAATCACATTAGATAACCTTAAATATCTTCCTGTTCCTCAACCTATAAATCTGTCTTCCTGAAGGCCCAGACCCAACACTGAAGGTTGAAAGACAATCAGAAGTGATAGAAAAATGGATCAGCCCCCAGGATAAATAGCTTCCAGTGGTAGGACATACATTAGTCAGTTTTTCTTCATTGGGACATGCATGGTTTAAAGGAGGAAAGGTTTGCTTTGTAGCTTCAGAGGTTTCAATCCATGGTCGGCTAGCTTCACAGCAAAAGTGTCATGATGGAGGAGCATAGCAGAGGCAGCCTGCTCAACTCACGGCAGCCAAGACGCAGAGCAGGAGAACAGAGCCAGAGAGGAAGGGGCAGTCCCAAGCCATTCCTCCCCAGCAGAAGGGGCCAGAGCAGGCCTTACTAATCCCCTGAGCAGCTCCTGAGCCAAGCAAGTTGCTTGCTGCGCCTAATTAGCGGGATCTAGACTTAAACCTAAACCTCTTGGTTTGGGAGCTCTGACATCTGCATCCATGAGGACACTGGTGACTTTGTGACTTTGCACACAACAAGCACTTCATCTCAGAACTGTCTGCTTGTTCTATTCCAGTATGTCTTAATGTGTCTTTTTGTGTCTTTACAGTTTGAAGTTTCAAAGTTTAGTTTGAAATGGCTTTGTTATTTCAAATCAGCTTCCACTTTTTGTTTATGATGCTTTCCTATAGTTGGTCTTCAAAAAGATTATGAGCTCTTAGCTCTGAGCCTGTAGCTGTGGCAGGTGGGCTTCCAGAGCAGGCGAGGAACCATAAGCTGCCACAGCCATCCGTGGAACATCTTCAGGTTCAGCAAACCCAGAGGCTGAGCTGGGCAGGAGAAAAACTGTAAGCCAGACCTTTAGCCTTTCGGATTCCTAGAAATGCACTTGTGGAAGTGCAGGTGCAAGCATCAGCTACAGACCTGGCTAAAGGCCCATTTAGAAAACGAGCATTAAGTTCTTATCCCTTGAAATATTAGTGAACTGATTTATCAGAAAATATTTTAGTAGATAACTGTGGAGTACGTAGGGCCAGAGGTTTGGAAGCAGTTAAGTATGGCATTGCACCCTGTGGTCTCTCAGAAGCCACGGAGATGGAAGGCTTGTATTCTGGCGACTTCATGGTTTTGAAATGGAGATTTTTAGTGGCTAGTAGGTCGTGATTTACAAGGTTGCAGGGGAGAGGCAGTTTGCACAGCATTAGGATGAACAGGAAACATGGCGGCTCTGTTATGTACAAGTCTTGTGCATCTCCTGGAGTGTACCGTCTTCCTTACTGAAGTAAACTTTTCAGGTTGATGAGACAGAGCTTTATTGGAATGAACTACCTGAAAAGGCTTTCATTTCTGTAGAAGAAAACAGTGTCCTGGGTTAAAGCAGCCAAGTATAACTTGAGGCCATTCTGAAGATGATTATAAATTGACATGTTTACTTTTCGACTATTCTGAAAGTTCCTTGGCACCCCAGGCCTACTCCTGAGCTACCCCAAGAGCTGTGCGGTGATCTATTGGGAGAGACAGGGTGGTGACGGGCAAGCCTCAAGGATGGCCCACTCACATTTTCTGCCCCTTTTTCATAGATTCTGTGTCCCAGAGACATGATACCCGAGGCCAGCTTGTAAATTCAGGTGATTTCCCTGATGATCTGAGAGAGACTGTTTTGTAGGCACTCGATGGAGATGTGAATGCTGCTTTCAAGGCTCAGTAAGGCTCAGTACTTTATAGATGCTCTGGTGAGCTCTGTGATGAGCTCATGAGGTAGATAGGCTAAAATTTAGTGAGTCTACCCTATCGTGGAGAGCCTGGATCAATTTCCACATCAGCAAAGAAGGTTCTGACAAGGACGATCTGTCCCGGGAGTGGCCATAAAAGTTACGACTCTCTCCAAAGCAAAGCTGTGCTGTATTAGGATTCAGTAAGACACTACCTTTGCAAATGACCTAAACCATGAAGGTCAAATTAGTTGAGACATTTGAGTTTCATAGAAACCCACCTACAGCTGGGCAGCTCATGCACGTGGAGCAAGAACAACCTGCCGGCCTGAGGGAATTGTACTGGCACTACTTCTGTTGGGATTTGAAATATTTCTTACATGTAGAGCTTTCAAATCTTGGTACATAATCTGAGGTTTAAGTGTAACTTTAGATTTCTCAGGAAAAAAATAGATGTCTAGTTCATATGTCATGCAAAAATATAGAAGGAAAATAAAGGACTTCATTTTAGAGCAGGAATTTTACAAGTCATATATTCTCAGTCCCTTCCCTCTGCCCTCATTACTGGGAGATGAGGGCTTCGCTGTACAAAAGCATCAGATTTTCTAATAAATAGCACTACATTCAATCTCTATAGGATTTAATTTTATGAAAGTGTTTTATTTAGTGTAATTTTATGGTATATGTTTTAGTACATTTTCCATATTGTGAAATTGAGTAGATTTGCTATCTTTGGACAGCTCTCAGAGTTGTTAGAAGTACCTTTCTGTAAAAGTGCCTCATGGAGTCTGTTCTCAAAAAGCAGCTGTTAATTGAGGGCCTTTATTAGAGGGTTCTAAGTTGACACACCAACTTTCCAGTAGATATATCACAATGTGAAGATGAAACAACGTGATCTTTATAGTTATTTGGAAAGACATGCAGCATTATGAAATGCATAGTTGTCCCTTAGGTTGTCTTCAGAGTCACTGCTTTGCTTGGAATTCACAAACTTGAAAAAATAATTTTGGAATTGACAGTGGAGAGAAAGAAGTGGACATTTGGGTCACAAAAGGGATTGAAAGTAACATTTTTGTGATCTCTTAAGATAATACTTGAACCGCTGTCAAAATCTGCTGTTTTTTGTAACATCTCTTGTTTTTGCAGCCTGTCCACTGCTTTGAATTGGAGAATCCAAGGGTAGAGATAAGCCTACTTCTCTGCTGTAGCCACTGAGAAGTTTAGTCCATGGATTTAGCCCTCCCTAGACCAGAGCCAGAGTTAGTGTGCACTGTACCATCTGGAAACCTTGTGAATGTAGTTTTCTGGGCCCTGAAATCAGGTGCCTGACTCTGCAGGTCCCAGGGACTTCCAAGGACTTGCATTTTTACCAGACCAGGTATTTTATTTATCCTTTTCTCAAGTTCTGTGTGACACTAAGTCCTCCCAGCGCCGGGAGCACACTTTGAAAATCAGCACTATGGTTCTTAAAAAGTGGGAGCAGGACTTCTAGCAAAACAGGGTCTAAATTCTGACAGGAGGAGTTAAAGTAAGAATTAGCTCTGTCATGTGTATTTCTGTTGCTCACTGCAGTCGACCTATAAATGAATGTTCCGCTCACCATCCCATT